TACTACGACAGTTTTGTAAAACCATCGTTTTTTAAAATACAACGACGGTTTTAAGCTTCACCGTCGCCTATTTAGTGTCGTTGTTTTACAATTTTGTAGTAGTGCCTGTAGTTTCTAGGGTTCTGTAGTTGTTGGGTTTCTGGGTTTTGTGGATGATTTTTTTGTTTCCCCTTTTCTGTAATTGCCGGCAAGGGCGAGGGCGCTGGGTTCTGGGTTCATGGGGGTGGGTGGTGGTCATGGGGAATGGAGAGAGAGAGAGATAGAGTTTTTTTTAATACACATTTTAATCAATTTAAAATTAATGAAAAGACAAATATGCCCTTATTTTTAACGGACAAGTTGACTAAGATGACGGAAATGACGATTTCTGAAAGTGGAGGCATAGTTAAAGTACCACCGTAACAATTTAGCAATATAAGGGACGAAAAGTAAAGTTTGGTCTTAGTCCAAGGAACATTGCTACAATTTTACTTAAAAAAAAATTATGGAGGAGGTGGCGAGGGAGTGGAGGGGCAGACAGCTGGACGTGGAGGATTGGTGTGCGATAGAGGAGGTGGTGAATATATTTTTTGTTTTTGTTTTTTTTATGATTTATTATTTTAAAATATATTTTTTTTATTTAATCCATATGACATCATATTATTGGATATATGAGGCCCATATGTGTGTTACATAATCAATTTAACAGATTTTTAGAGGAACTACTTGTGAGCATGCTTGTTAACCTTACGAACCACGAATCCCAAAAAAAAAAGAAAAAAAAAAAGAAGATGTATTCTTATAATTCCATGAACCTCAGGTTTTGTTATGAAAAAAGCCCATAAAAAATTACTTTTTTCACAGATTAATGTGCTGACATGAAGTTGGAGATGTGTATCTATTCTGCTTTGAATCAATATGTCGGATTGCGGTATAATCTACTGTACAATTTGCTGTCAGGCATGCAACAAAGAGAAAATAACATTTACAAATTTAATGACAGTAATTTGCAACTCCTGTCACTTTCATACATCTTAAGAAATTCAGTCTAGTTGATCTTCCAGTTAATTAATTTCAGATCTCTATACAGCTCATATGCAAATTCTAGCTTGTGGCTTTTCAATCATGCCAAGAAGAAGAAAACAGAGAAAGAAAAAAACAGTAAAATATAGTAAATTTCCATAGCAATTAGAAACTGCCCAGCTCCTGGAACAGTATATAAATGCAGAGGCTAGCAAGATAGTATTTTTATTTTTTTGGTTGAACTGGGGGGAAAAACCTCAAACAACACAACTACATAAAATCAACACAAGCAAGACGGGGACGAGACAACCCAATCAAGTCATCAATAACTAATGAACCTATCCAACTTAGAGCAAAATCAAAATAACACACGGCAAGACCCACGTTATAGCTCCAGAGCCAGATAGTTATTTTAAGCCTTCAGGTTTAACCATTTATCTAGCTACCAGCCTTAAAATTTCAATACTAGTTTCCCTAGCCACCGCAGGTGATCCTAAACCTTCAACGACAAAGCTGCTTTGGCTGAGTTCTCTGCTCGTAATGCCAGAATTCTAGTTTAATGATTTTTTTTAACATGTAAACAGCCAAACACATCTTCAGTTTCTAACTCTTTTGCAATGATTATTTATAATAATAATAAAAACAGAAAAGCAAGGACAAATACTTAAAAACAAAAGTCTATACTAAAAAATAGCCTCCCAAATCCCCCTAAATAAAGACGTATTGGGCTGGCTAGATGCATATATGTAAGTGTTTCACTTGGCTCTTTATCATCTTTGATAAAAAAATGAAAGTTCCTGTCAGATTTCTCCCAAATGAATTTCAACATAATCTTTTTATCAAAATAATCCCACGGTGGCTGGATTTTCATAATCCACTTATCCAGAGATCAGTGATGCCGGTTTCCAAGGTGCTGCGAGGGCAATAATTAATATAAACGATAGACATTGGTGCAAAGATACGTACTCTTAATCACTTGCGCTGCAAACCCATTGCACAACTCTCATGGATTCAATATTGGCTATTTCAAGGAACATAAGTTAATGCTTCCAGATAAATTACCTGACATTAAAATGTACTCTTCCACAGCTAAGTTTGCTGGCATAAAATTACACCTAGTTCATCTCTGATTATTGGTGGACGGGTTTGAGGGAAAAACTCGAATACACACAATGTCAACTATTGTAATTTGCAACTCCTCTCAATTTCATACATCTTAAGAAATGCAGTCTGGCTGATCTTCTAGTTAATTAAGTTATGTGTACACAGCTCATACCGGCTTGTGGCTTTTCAATCAGGCCAAGAAGAAGATAACATAGAAAACATAGTAAATTTCAACAGAAAACTTGCAATTGCAAACTTATCAGCTCCTGGAAAAGTATATAAATACCATGCTAGCAAGACAGTGAAATACCAACAGGAATAGAACAAGTTAGTTTCAGGCCTAACCATTTATCTAGCTACCATGGCCTTGAGATTTGTTCAATTGCTGATCATATTTGTACTGGCCCTGGCCACCTCCCAAAGGATCCTTGCAAATGATCCAGACATCCTTTTTGACTACATAGTCCCGCCAAATAACAGAGTTGATGCTAATTTCTTTACTTACACTGGATTCCGAGACATATTTGATGATGTTCCTGGAACCTTAAACGTAACGAAAGCTGCCTTGGCTGAGTTCCCTGCTCTTAACGGACAGAGTGTGTCGTACGCCATACTTAAATATCCTGCAAACGGGGGGGTGAACCCACCTCACATCCACCCTCGTGCTGCTGAGCTTTTGTTCCTTGTTGGTGGTTCCTTGGAAGTAGGTTTCGTGGACACGAAAAACGTTCTATATACTCAGAAGCTTAAAGTTGGAGACCTCTTTGTGTTTCCTAAGGGATTAGTCCATTACCAGTATAACTCAGATGCTAATTTACCAGCCTACGCCGTTTCAGCATTCGGAAGTGTAAATGCTGGAACGGTTTCAGTGCCTGTGTCTGTGTTTGGCACTGGAATTGATAATGCCATCCTAGCAAAATCATTCAAGACCGATGTTGGTACCGTTAAGAAGCTCAAGGCTGGCCTCACCACTCATAAATGATGGATTAACAAACCAACACCATAATCTTTGTCGTGGTTGTGTTCACACACCCTTCAGATTATTAAACAAAAGCAATAAGGGCCATCTAGTACTGCACCCTCTTTTTTTTTTTTCAGTGTTAGCTTTGCTTTGAAAGCAAAATTTGATTACTTATGTTTTTGTTGTTAATCTATGCAGTTCTGCAGTTTTTTATTATTATTATTGAATTATATATTTCCGTTCAGTAGAGTTTCTCCGAATCAAAACCTACATTTTAGAACAACTAAACCGGATTATGCAACAATTTCACCATGGAATCCCTGTCTACTTTCGTTCTGTCATAAGTATCTTCGGAATGATTTTCTCCCTAATACACTTATAGGCCAACTCAGTGTTCACTGTGTTTTAAATGGTTGACTTTGACCTCAACAGAGTCTAAAGAGATTCCCAAAGGCTATAAATGGCATGAAGTCCCATTCCAATAGCACACTACATGGAGGACAATTAGCAAGGAAAGGATTTTTTTGGCCTAAGCAAAACGTTTCTTATCTCAATGTTGCTAAAACTGAAGAGTGCTCAAAAGTAAGAGCAAAGACATATATAGACCTGTAGAAAAGACACTATTTCGTTTCAGGAATTGTTTACAACAAGATGTTCAATTTGTAATCTTTTACTGTTGGTTTACTATGATATACAGTGATTGAGTTTTTAAACTTGCATCTTTGATTTTGGCAGCGACATGATTTCGCGCCCAAAAGTTTTCTTATTACAACTATTGATTAACCAAAATTAATAACAAAAAGGTAACATGAAAAAGGAGATACAATAAAAAAAAAGCTAAAATTTATGAACCAAAGTAGCAAATATACATTGTCCAAACTGACGGTGGATGAAACAACGACGGAGACAGAGTTAAGGAGATGATGAGAGGGTTGAAGAATTTGTAAATAGATTTGACTGCCTCAAACAGTGCCTTTATCTGGTCAAGCTATGTAACACCTACAAGCCTGAGCCTTCAGCTCAAACTAGCTCTTTCTCTTTATGTATACTGAGGAGGGGGTTTGTGATAACATAATTAAAGAACAATTATAAGGACTGAGACATCAAGGCAGGAATTATAATATGGATTCAATATTGGCTATTTCAAGGAACATAAGTTAATGCTTCCAGATAATTACCTGACATTAAAAATTACTTTTTCACAGATTAGTTTGCTGGCATAAAATTCCACCTAGTCCATCTCTGTTAAACCAAAGCAAATCATAGTCATTTGATAGGCCCTGCTTGGATTCACATGCCAGATTGTGGCTATTCTATTGTACACTTTGCTGTCATGCATGCTGGATGATGGAGAGAAACAAGACATATACAAAGTCAATTGTTGTCATCTGCAACTCCTCTCAATTTCATACATCTTAAGAAATTCAGTCGAGCTGATATTCTAGTTAATTAACTTATGTGTGCACAGCTCATACTGGCTTGTGTCTTTTCAATCAGGCCAAGAAGAAGATAACAAAGAAACAACATAGTAAATTCCAACAGAAAACTGGCAATTGCAAACTTATCAGCTCCTGGAAAAGTATACAAATACCATGTTAGCAAGACAGTGAAATACAAACAGCAATAGAACAAGTTAGTTTCAGGCCTAACCATTTGTCTAGCTACCATGGCCTTGAGATTTGTTCAATTTATGATCATATGTGTACTAGCCCTGGCCACCTACAAAAGGGTCCTTGCAAGTGATCCCGACATCCTTTCCTACTACATAGTCCAGGAAAATAACAAAGTTGATGCTAATTCCTCTACTTACACTGGATTCCAGGACATATTCGATGATGTTCCTGGAACCTTAAACATAATGAAAGCTGCCTTGGCTGAGTTCCCTGCTCTTAATGGACAGAATGTGTCGTACGCCA